GTTTGTTTGTTTGTTTGTGTGTGTTTGCTTGTGTTTGTGTGTGTTTGTGGGGTGTGTCTTCGTATGCATGTGTGTGTGTGTGGGTGTGTGGGTGCGTGGGTGCGTGGGCGCGTCGGGCACGCGGGCGCGTGGGCGTGCGTGGGTGGCTGGGTGGGTGGGCGGTTGTGTGTTTTTGTGTTTGTGAGTTTGAGAGCGCGTTAGTTTGTTACTTTGTTAGTTTGTTAGTTTGCTTGTTGCTTGGTTGGTTTGCTTGTGTTTGCTTGTGCATTGTTTTGTTTGTTCGATCATGCGTTTGTTCGTTCGTTTGTGTCTTTGCTTGTGTGCGTTCTCGTGCGCTTGCCTTCTTGCTTGATTGATTGGTTGAGTGATTGATTGACCGATTGATTGATTCATTGACTGATTGAATGACCGATTGATTCATTGATTGCTTGTTTGTTCGTTTGTTTGTTTGGTTGTTTGTTCATTTGTTTGGTTGCTTGTGTTGTTTGTGTGTTCGTTCGTTCGTTTGTGTGCTGGCTTGTTTTGTTGTTTGTTGGTGTTTTGCTTAGTTGTGTTTGTTTGTTTGTTTTTGTGTGTTTGTTTGTTTGCTTGTTTTTGTTTGTTTGATGGTTTGCTTGTTTGTTTGCTGGTTTGCTTGCTTGTTTGCCCGTTGTTTGCTTGTTTGCTTGTTTGCTTTCTCTAGTGACAATAGGGTCAGCGCTAGTTGGCGAGATACTTGGCAAAATGCGCTCCCACAGTATAACGCCAAGGACAGCGCAAAACACTTTTGCGCGAGCAGCGCAACGCCAGCCGTAACACCAAGGATGCCTCCACTTGCTTGGTTTGCTGGTTTTCTTTGAAGACCATGCGGCTTGATATCATGCTCCGCTCTGGCTGCCCAAGGTGCAATTCTGCCTGCCAGGCCTGGTTGAACAGGGCCAGTCCATCCTCGGGCGCGTTGCCTGCAGGCAGGTCCCACACATCTTGCGCCTGCGCTGTTGGCAATCGGATTGCGCGAGAGACAACGACCAGGCGCGACAAGTGCAACGGGCTACCAAAACATCAATTATGTTTGACAAATGGCCACCATAACATTTCAGTCAACAAGGCGCACAAGTCAAGGATCTTTGAAAGGCACACGTGCTTCAATGAAGGCAAACGCGCCGCATGCGACGCGGCGACGCGGCCTGTAGCTCGCCAGCCACCGCCTTCCTCAACAACGGGCTCAGCCAGCTGACGCTCGCTGCCGCCCAGCAGCTGGCCCGCTCCAGCGGATGAACTGAGAGAGAAGCGATCCGTTCGACGAGTGGTCCATTTTAGGTGGATGGTATCTGAATGGACGCCAGAAAGAAACCAGCCCTTTGATGGATTCCCTATCGTGGCACATACACACAATCACCACCCCTTCTTTGAATTGCAGGCCTAGGTGTGAATGTGTCAACAAATGTCACCCTGCAAGCCAGCTTCCTTGTCGGTTCCTCTAAGAACCACACAAACAAAACACAAAGAGAACATAACTGTGAGCCAGCTAAATAGCTCCACTTTGGCATTCGCTCACATTCACAGTCCAATCTTGAGTACTTGACCTGCCTGCATCCTTCGAAGAAACATCCGTAGAAGGAACATCACGCATTCGAGAACGCTGGTCCTTTGCCGGCCTCCAGAAAGAAATAAACGCGTATGGTTGTAGTGTGTGTGTGTGTGTACGTGTGTTTGTATATGGGCGCTCATGTGCGTATCCATACACATGTAGAGGTATGTCTGAATTGGGATCTGCTGGCCTCTCAAAGCCTTCAACTACAATGGCTTGGCTAATTCAGAAAAGTGTGACAAGCAGGCAGTGCACGCCTGCTCTAGAGGCTGCTCTGCCTTCGACCCATTCGTTATCACCCACACTTGCATCCAATCCTGCAGCGAACGGAAGACACCTAAATTTGAGCCAATGCGTGTGGGCGACGCGCTTGGTGACATTTGGCCCAAGTCGACCAACACACAAGCCAAATAGCTGCTTCCACTCAGGCGCCGATTCGGATGGCACGGTTGGGGGGTCAGGCGAAAGCAGATCACATGGGACACTCATCAACACTGCACGCCAACCTTGCCAAGCCGCTTTGAGCCTTAGTATTAGAATAGTCTACCCAGAACCGTGTTAAAAACTGAAAAGGCGGCTTTCACCTACCGACAATTTGTGGCTTGCTCTGGCGAACACGCCAGGATGGCCCAGATGAACCTTGTAGCGTCTCACTTGTTTTTGTACACCGCCAAAAACTGTGCATCTGATGGGGTTGCTTGGGCCACACCTGGGGCCCCATGTGGCCAATACTCCTTTGACCGAACAAATGCCGTCTTTATTGTTGTTTAGCGTGCTTGCTTGGAACAAATACGGGTGGGTACAGACAAACGACCGAATACAAGGTTCGAGGAAGAAAAAAAAACGGCCACAGGGGTGCAGGCAGCTCCCACACTGCCCTGACATTTCCCTCAAAGACTGGCAGCCACATGAGCACGCCGGGGCCCGCGCTCCAACTTCACAGGGGCCTGACTCCCAAACCTAGGGGTTTCGGAGCTTCGAGGAATCAAAATTACGACGGGTGTCTCTATGCGTCAAATTTCTGTGCGAGTGTCCTTTTGATTCTTGAATATTCTTGACACTCTGGGTCTGTAGTGAGCCGCTCACTGAGCTGCTGGCACTTTGGACCAACGCAGTCGGCCCTCCTGCAGACCTTGGGGCAAGATAAAACCGAAGTCAGTGAAAAAAAAGATTCCGTTGCACACAACGTTGTAGGCATCCAAGGTGCGCAGGGCACTCCAAGCTTGCAAATATTCTGGGGGGTGAATCAAATTACTCCTTCGTTGCGCGAAAACCCGCTTTGCGACGTACAAATGATGATCCAATTCAATTTTTTGTGGGCAACACTTGCCTCCTTCAGAAGCGCGGCATGTTCAACTGGGTACAACTCGCGCACCAGCCTCCTGCGCGTCGTTCAATCTGTGCGGAGTCAGAATAAAGGTAAACATTTGCGTCACGGCGAAGGCTACAGCGGATCCACGACGCTCGCTTGCTGCCCCCGGCTCAGATATAGAACAACGTACGCGCGGCCCGGGAAAGACGTACCGTTTTCCTGCGGAATGAACAGCTACATCCGTCTATAGCCGAGGCTTGCGAGCATAAAGGGATCTCTGAAGTCCCCCGGCCCCCCCCCCCCCCCACGGACCGCGCGGTTTGCTGCCGTTCCACTCAACGTAGTCCTTGGGGAGCCAGTGTCGCAAAACAGGGGTCCTAGGCTCGATTCCCCCTGCCGGCTCTTTGTTGGTTTGGGGTTCCTGCCTCCTTTTGCCGAAAATCTGGAAAACTCTGTGTTTTTTGACGTCCTAATTGCGAAAACGCTGGAAAAACCGTGTTGTTTTTTACGGGAAATATTGGGGAGCAAAGGGGTAATGCAAGGAAGTGCAAGGAAATGAGGGGAGGAAATAGGAAGTCGACATGACAGGAAAGCAGCGGGTAATGAAAGGGAAACCAAGGGGAACTGAAAGGGACATGCAAGGGACAGAAATGAAAACAAGGGGAGTGCAGGGGGAATGAGAGGGAAACGAAGCACAAGGACACCAATCGGCACGACGGGAGATGTAGGGAAATGACTCGCAACGAAAGAACGGGACATACATGGAAAATGAAGCGGACATACCGAGAAAATGTCAGGGACCTGAAGGGGGAGTTGAAAGGCATGGAAGGGACATGACCAGGACATCATGGGAAACGTGAAAAGGACCTGAAGGGGAAATCAAGGGGAAAGCCAGTAGTGAGATGACAGTTCAGGGTCATGAAGGGGCAGTGCCCAACAGAGACAGAGACAGACAGAGAGAGAGACAGAGAGAGAGAGAGAGAGAGAAAGAGAGAGACTGACAAAGAGAGACACAGAAAGACAGAGAGAGAGAGAGAGAGAGACAGAGAGAAAGAGCGAGAAAGTGAGAGAGTAGAGAGGTTCGAGTTAGGGTACCCTTTTTCTGTAGAGGGGCGTGGACAGGAAGGAGACAGGGAGACAGAAAGAGACAGAGAAACAGAGAGAGCGAGAGAGAGAGAGAGAGAGACAGAGAGAGAGAGACAGAGAGAGGGAGATTGAGGAGAGAGAGGCTTGGGGGGATGGGGAGGATGGGGATCAGAGGGAGGGAGAGAGGACGACAGAACACACGAGGGAGACAAGGGAGAGAGGAAGAAGGAGAAAAGGGAGAGGACAATGTCGGCGGACTGAGCCGGAGGCTCTAAAGTAATTAATGATGTCTGTACTTGTTGATTTGTTTCAAACGACAAGAGTTTGATTAAGAAGATAGAACATGAATGATAGGATAGTGACATAGCTTTGCCATCCCTCTTCCTTTTGTCGGCTCTTCGTGCGCTCAGTCTTGTACCGCGGTCAAATATTTGGGTCACAGGACCTCGCCTAATCAAGGGTTTTAGGGCAAGTGGCTGGAGATGGAAAGGGGCGGCCATAAGGCCCACATGATGAAGAAATGTGTCCAAGGGGACGATTTTACGACTGGTCCTATGTCGTACCTGTCCCCTCCGTCAACATGAGATGGGAAAGTGGTAAGAGATATAAGGAAAGGTACCGAGATTCATCCATTGGCTGGCTCTTTCTCTATCTCTTGACCAGAGGTAGCTTACATCTTAGTTCTTACAACAGTCGGAAAACAACCCCACGCCCCAATACCTCGACGTCATGGATTCTTCGGGGGCGAGGCAACCCTTCCGAAGAACCAAAATGTTGCAAGGGTGGCAGGCTGCCCAAAGCCGATGGCTTGTCTGGCACGCTTTACATGCTGGCTCCGCTTTGGCAGGCTTGATCACTGTTGCTGCACCAGGAACGAAGAATCTTGGCACTTGAATAAGCACTTAAGCCCAAGCGACAAGTGGCGGACATGACTGGGATACTGTCTTGTGTCAACCAATGACGTTGGATTTTGGTAAGTAACCCCATCTTCTAATGGAGATGTGGTGAGTTGTTGTTTGTTGTATACGTCGCGCAGTGCTTCATTTCATGAGCCCATGGCCAGGTGCCTCAACTTTCCTGAAAGTTTCTAGCAGGTTTCCAGAGAGATTGCAATTGAAGCAAGCGACTCAAAGCGTTCGCCGTTGGATGGCCGCTCGGCCCTTGGCACATCTGAGTTGCGCACAGCGGGCAAACCTCTGTTGGATGGGTTCTTGAGCTGGCTGGCCTGAGATGAGAACCGCAACTTCCCAGTTTGGGATGTGCCTTGATGGACACAGCAAATAAAGTCGGGTAGCTGCCTTTGCGCTGCCAGTACACTCGAACAACTCATGGAACCTCCTAAGTTATACTTCCCTCTTGAGAAAGGACGTCCTCCGTTCTGTGTTGCTGAGCTCTTATGATAACCTTAAGGCCACTAGCAACGCAACAGCCGAAGATGCCAAAGCCACCAAGCTCTCCGTGCGCCCACCCACGCTCGGGGACCCTCGGGGGCTCTTGGGGGCCGGCGCAGGCCCCAGCTCTGAAGCTCGGAAGCCTCGAGCTCAAAACTGGGAACAACTGCGCATGATTTTGACGAAGCTCCATGTAGATCAGCAACAAGCACAAGGAGGCCTGAAATACTTCAGACTCCCTGCAGCAGTCGCCCTTTTTTGGTTAAGCACGACTCCCGACTCCCTTCTTGCCATTTTGTGGAAGTTGCTGAGGCCGTGCGGGCCTCATTGCGACCACGGTCCACTCAGAGTTTCCTCACCGAGTGATGGGATGGAACGAGAACAGGAAGTGCAAATCAGGTTGCAGGCCTGATCCCTGCAAACAAACGCTAACAGTTGTGCAAGTTGCACTTTGAGGTGGATGAGGTTTGCACTCCTGCTTGTACAGCTGTTACATCCTCGACCAGGTCGCGGGAAAAACTTCAGCAGAGGGCGCGCAAGTTTAAAGCAGCAAGCCTCTGATGAAGACAGACCATCTGTTCCGTCCAAGCAATTCATGGCAAGCTGCTTGAAGCCATGTCTTGTGGAACTTGCCATGTAATTGCCTAGATTGCCAATGAGTTCGGCTAAGGACCTACCCTACTTTCCAAACATCTCGGATTCGGCAGGGAAGGGCAGCAGCTCAGCCGTAGCTGCCAACAGTCAAACAGTCAGGCTTGTGCCTATGTTCTGCAACCCTTCCGGGTGCAAATTGCCAGCGAGACTACATGTGAGTAGCGCGTGGCCGTGGTTTGCCCGTCAATGCTCTGTGCCATCCTGTTCCAGAGGCACTTCTTGCGAGGACGACAATTGATATACGAGTGCTGCTTTGTGCGAGTGCGAATTTATCATACCATGTTTACGGCCTGTATAAGTGTACATATTTGCTTGCCATGATGTTCTTGTATTGCGGGGTTCCCCATGAAAGTATCAAGCCTCACGTGTCATTGAAGGGCACATCTCAAAACACCCGCTCAACACCGCTGGGTGATGCTGAAGATCAGCGTGCTGCACATCGTTTTTTGGCTCTGCGACAGCCTCTCTGAGGGTGTCTGAGACTCATGCTCTGGCCATGGCGTAGCCTGACATCAAGCACACGGCTCCGTTCCGCTAAACAAACAGGGCTCCCGGGCTCCCATCAAAATCGCGCCGCACGGGATCAGGTTCCAGCTACGCGCATTCCACTCCAGGTAACACAAATTGCCCCCGCCTTCCCGAAAGTGATCAACCGCAACCTTGGAGGGCACACTTCGGGCAAGTCACTGTTCACGCGGTGAGCAGCTATGGGAGTTGGCAAATCCCATTCTGCAAGAACCTGGAAGAAAAAATATTGACCCTTGGGGCTTTGCTGAACATGCGAAACTGGGAAAGGCCCAAAGGTTGCGTCTAAGTGCAGGTCTGCTAAGTCGGGACCATATGCTCCGCTCGTAGCCAACTTCCTCACTACCTGCGACATGGCGGATGCAACATGCTCTGCTAAAATGATATGGTTCCAAAAGAGTTGAAGGGGAAGCAAGCCACCATTTCAAGGGCTCGTCGTTCCAGAAAACACTCGACTGAGCAAACCTTCGATTGCCCAACTGTACAAGTGGAAGTGTATCTCAACCATATCAGTGTGCATGTGCAGAAACAATCATGCATTGCACCTGACTAAGCCTCTCCACGTCCGTTTTGTCCGTCTTGTTGCCCATGCCGCCCACGTCAATGAGGGTCACATGCTGCGTCTCCTGCCAGCCAAGTCTGAAAAGAGATGGATACCTGGAAATGACGAAGTTAATTGAAAACAAATACTATTTCATATAAGTTGAAATGTAAAAGAAGCTGAGCAACCTTCAAAGCTCGAAACAGAAAAGCAAAAATAAAGCGGGAACCCTCCCTTATAAACCAACAGATCTGTAAGGCGTCGCTAGGAGGATCCCGGCCTCGTCAAATAGAATATTTTGAGTTCCTGCGTCATTGTGCTGCCGGCCGCCATAGCGCCTGCAGAAGAGCAAGGTTGGAGAGCGAGAGACTGAAACAATGGCGTTGCTTGCGGATTGAACAGGGAACACCTCGGCTTCTCATCAATCTCAGATCCAATGGCGAGCAAGCTGCCGTGGTCCTAAGCCAACATCCTGCCTTTCTTCGAACGAACAAAGCGATTGCTCTGGTGCCAACGTTAGACGCTCGAGCTGGACCTGCCCACCAGTTGGAGGGAAAGCCAGCGCCCGACGCGCTCCTTTTGGCCTTGGAAAGATGTGAAGAGCGGGTTCAGGATTGGAATGCTTGGGGTGGGTTCAAAGTTAGGGTTTGGGGAAGCTTGGTTTTTGGCTTAGCTTTGGGTTGGTTGAGAATTGCTTTCAGCTTGGTTTGGGCTGGACGTGAGGTGCAGCGAGCCGGCGAACAATTGCGTTTAGCAAGTCGGCGGTGTAGGGTTCACTTCAGGCGGTGGGGGGTGAGGGCCAATGCAAAAGGGGTCACAGGCGAGCGGACACGGGTCACAAAAGAGGCACGGCCCAAATTCCTCCACGCCTGTGGAACTGTGCGAAGGTTTCGCCCACCTTCCGGAAGATGGCCATGATCTCGGCCCGGCGCCCGCTCCTGAAAAAGCAAACAGGCGAGACGCCCAACGTCTTTACTGTCTTTGCCTGTTTTGTGGCCGCAGCTTTGCTCCCAAGTTCCGTTGCTCTTAAGTTCTGCTCGAAAGGAATCCTCCCCTTGCTTCCAAGAGCTCGGCATTGGTACCCTCGTCCGGCATGCCAAATCCCGGTGACTACTTCAATATACTTCAATCTGAAGGCAGCAGTATGACATCAATAAAACATCTCTATATATGGGAGGCGTCAGCGGTGGTATTGGGGTAGAAAACGTCAACTCCTCCATTTCTCCGAGATGATGTAATCCAAGGACTTTCCTGGAGCTTTCCGCATGACGATGAGGTCCTCGGCGAGCGCTGCTGCATATTATCGTATGGACATTGTGACCGATTAAGCACAGTCATTGTTCATAGTGTCCCCATCTCAGTTAGGAACTCGGGTCAACCCTGTGTTCTTGTGGCAATTCCGTGGGTGCTCATCTCCTTTATCAGTGTCGCATGGAGAGGTGTCGTCCAGGTAGTTGGGCCATGTCCAGCCCATCTCAAAGCCGTAACCCCCCGCACAATGCATCCTAGGCACATGACGCCTCACATTGTTGGGGCCCAAAAGGCGGAGGACTTTGAATGGAAAGGCCACGTGGGGATCCTCTGCGATGCTGGGGATCTCCTGGGCCATGTTCTTTGCGGACCTGAAAAGGTGCTTTTTGGACTACTAAAGCTTGCAAAGGCCTGGCAGGTGGCACTGCCAGCCAGTGAACTGGTTAATTGAAACTCCTGGTAGAGCTTCGAGAAAATCCTTTCCTCCACAAGCTGAGGTGGAGCATACCTCGCAGCCACTGAGCAAGATTTGCAAAGCGGAGGCACCGCAGGACGCGCCTGTCGTACTTCACCAGTTTCAGTACCAAAGTCTCACCTGGGTATGATGTTGCCACAGGACCCCTTTTCGCTTGGCGCCGAAAGGGAAGTAATGGTACAGCAACCACTTGTGGGGGGAGTTGTCCCACTTGGGCCCTGCGCATTGCGCATGAACGCAAACTGAGTCGCCGGCTGCCTCCCTTCAAGAACCAAATGCCTCGCACCCCCAAGCCCCGCACAAATCGCCCGAGAATGTCTTCTCCCATCTTCCCTGTTCGCACGCAAACAAATGCATCTCCTTTACCCCGCTCCGTGAAGAAAAGACAGAACTTTCGTCACATCGAGCTCCCGGCCCTCGTTAAGGCCCCCGTGGAAGCCCCTCATGGGCTCGAAGGTGCCCTGCACGCCCAGCTCAGCCAGCAGTTGCTGGCGCAGCGCCGGGTGCTTGGGCTCGAAGGCCATGCAACCAAGATGGAAGTCGCGCACCTGGCTCGGCCAAATACAGGTGTGAAAGAATGGGTGAAGAACTGAAGCGAGGGTGTCCCCAAAATCGTCTTGTGCTCAACCCAGACCTCGAAGCCCTGGCTTCCGCAGTTGACGCCTGCATCGTTCAACCTGAACCCCGCGGCTCGCAGGGGTGAGGTGGAGGTAAACTTGGAGACGCCCGGCAGCTGATCTGCGCTGCGACTGAGGAATCGCATCTGCTGCATCCCAAATGGCGTGGGCCGCGCCCGCAGCGGGCTGCAGTTTGGGCTGTTGGTGGGGCTGCAGGTGGGGCTGCAGGTGGCGCTGGTGGCGGTGGATCTGATGATCCTGGGGCTCACAGCGGGGCTGTTGCTGGGACTGGAGTTCGTGGACAATGCTGATCGGCTTGCGGTGGGAGACAGAACTTTGGGGGACTCCGCACCTACTACCACCGTTGACACCATCGACACCTTCGCCACCTTCGGCTTGCTGGGAGCGACAATTTTGATGGTCGGCCCTGTCTGCAGGACGTAGCCATTCTTCCGAGTTTTCGCTGGCAGTGATTGCCTGGTCGAGAGCAGGCAAGGAACGCTGGTCGCCGTAATCAGCATCTTTCTGTCCTCACTGCTCCGCAACAAGCAACTGATGCATTGCCACGGCCAAAAACTGCAATCTCACTAAGCATGCTCCAACTTGGCCCAGCATTGAACATGAGTAAAAAAAACAAAAACTTCCCACCCTTGGCAGCTAAAATCAGGCCGCCCACACTCGAGGGGCACCTCCGTCAAAAAACGCATATGTGCAGCCCAGTCACGCCTGCAACCTCTGATCTCAGCCCCCCTTCGATCTTGAGCAAGCGAAGCTGATTGGAGCAAGTGCAGCAAGTTCTGCAACCCAGGCTGGGTGAATGCCTGCTTTAATCGGGCCCTGCAACGGTTCCTTCATTGCTCCCTGTTCACGGACAGCAACACGAGGAGAACAAACTCAACACGATTGAGGAGGGCTAGAGGTATGCAAGGCCCAAACGCCTCCGAGTTGTCCAAATCTGTCTGACAGTCCAACTGTATGGGTCGGCTGAGATTCAAACCAATGCTTGGCAACGCTCTGCAGGTTCTAAGGTTGCAAATCCTGCCTCAAGGAAGCAATAAGTTTTTTGCAGGCAAAACTGTATTTGACATGCCACAAAACCATATTCGAAATTGTCACCGCGAATAATCAGGTCATGTTCCTCATTCCAAAACGTGAGCCAGCACACAAAAGTGGTCGGTGCCCTTCCAGGTTCTATCCGGGCAGAGCTTCTCGAAGCACAGCGCTGAGTCCCTGACGGGCACCAGGAAGCATCTGCCTCAGGTCATGCCCATCAGGAGTTTGTTCCTTGCCATTTGTGGGTAGCCTGCAGTTTGTTTCACGGCCATGCTGGGGCACCAGCCGAGAAAGTCGGAAAAGTTGAAGGCCGGACCTAGTGAATAAAGTCAAGCCGAACAAGCTTTGCAAAACATGAAAGGCACAGTCCTTTCTTTTGCGAAGCCAGGAAATCACCTTGGGCATAGTTTGACAAAGATTCATGCGAATTCCAACAAATACATGCACGCGGCTCATGAGTCCAACTACAAACCTACTGAGATGAAATTCCTGAGCTCGGAAAGTGAAGAACTAAGCCAGGGCTGACAATGAAATGATGGAATGGGTAACATCACCATTTACGGTCAAGCTGTTTCTATCTCTGCAGGCTGCCATGTCTGCAGCTGGGGTCTCCAACGGATGGCCTTCACTTCCTGTTCTTGTTCCCGCCTCAGTCAACTAACAGGTTTGCATGTCTGAGTGCAAATATGTTTGTCCAGTCTTTTGTGCGTGGGTGGGTGTGGGTGTGGGTGGGTGTGGTTGTATTCGTGTTTGTTGTTTTGTGTTTGTGCGTGTGTGTGGTTCTGTGTGTGTGTGGTTCTGTGTGTGTGGTTCTGTGTGTGTGGTTCTGTGTTTGTGTGGTTCTGTGTGTGTGGTTCTGTGTGTGTGGCTCTGTGTGTGTGGTTCTGTGTGTGTGTGTGTGGTTCTGTGCGTGTGTGGTTCTGTGTGTGTGGTTCTGTGTGTGTGGTTCTGTGTGTGGGGTTCTGTGTGTGTGTGGTTCTGTGTGTGTGGTTCTGTGTGTGTGGTTCTGTGTGTGTGGTTCTGTGTGTGTGTGTGTGGTTCTGTGTGTGTGTGGTTCTGTGTGTGTGTGTAGTTCTGTGTGTGTGTGGTTCTGTGTGTGTGGTTGTGTGTGTGTGGTTGTGTGTGTGGTTGTGTGTGTGTGGTTGTGTGTGTGGTTGTGTGTGTGTGGTTGTGTGTGCGTGTGTGTGGCTGTGCGTGTGTGTGGCTGTGCGTGTGTGTGGTTGTGTGTGTGTGGTTGTGTGTGTGGTTGTGTGTGTAGTTGTGTGTAGTTGTGTGTGTGTGTGGTTGTGTGTGGTTGTGTGTGTGGTTGTGTGTGTGTGTGCGTGTGCGTGCGCGTGTGCGAGTGCGTGTGCGTGTGGGTGTGGGTGTGTGTGTGTGTGTCTGTGGGTGTGTCTGTGTGTGTGTCTGTGTGTGTGTGTGTGTGTGTCTGTGTGTGTGTCTGTGTGTGTGTCTGTGTGTGTGTCTGTGTGTGTGTCTGTGTGTGTGTGTGTCTGTGTGTGTGTGTCTGTGTGTGTGTCTGTGTGTGTGTCTGT